GTTGAAGCTCACCTGAAGACACTGGGGCTGGTGAGGGTCACTGTAAGACACTGGAGATGGTGAGGGATGCCAGCAGGTTTGATTATGAAGACACGGATAAGACCGATTTGATGTTGACTCAGCTGACAATTACAGTTTTTTTTTTAAATTGCTTACAGAGAATTTAAGAAACTATGGCTCCATTTCTCAAAACTCTACACACAAAACCATAAAACACACACAACATGCAAAACGTCACACATCTCTTGCAAAGGCAAACTTCATTCAAAACTATTTTAACTCTTATACATGACCAGCTCGTTCAGTGTGCATTGGAGTGTACAGGAGCTTGTCATAGCACTCACGTGTACATGTATGTGCACAAATATACTGTATATATAGTATGTATGCACAAGTGATTAATTTTAGTTATTGACTGTACTGAATACACACTGAACTGACTTGAGCTGAATAATGACACTATTGGCTTGTTAGAACTGCTTTACAGCAGAATTTTTATTTGTAACTATTGTGAAGCTGCTTTGAAACAATCTGTACAGTGGAACAGAAATAAAGGTGACTTGCATAAGGTATGCATATTCAGTATATATTCAAGAGTCAAAAATGTATTAGAAATCAAAACTCAATGTTTTGCGAAACAAAGTGATCAAATAAGCTATATTTACACTATAAACAGAAATACAAGAGGGTAAAAATAATTTCTTTCTTTCTGAAAATATTGAGTTTTTTTTATTTCTAAGTGATCAATTTTAGTGTTTTCACACCTAATCATTGGATGTAGGTAATTGGGAAATTAATGTGCCATTTAAATGGCAGTGTTTTCTAAATGAAGCTGTTAGTTTTAGAGTGTAAAGTGTAAAGCATGTATAGAGTGTAAAGCATATAATGCGCTTGCAGTTTTGCAGACTTGGTCTGAAGATTAGGTATATGAGTGAATGGTTTCGCTAAAGTACCACTTTTAGTCTGTAAGTTTTTTTTGTTTTTTTTTTACTGTAAAACTTGTCATCTTCAATCAATTAGTGACTTTCTCTTCATGTTCTTATTTTATAGTTTGTCCAGTCAAGTTTACAAAATGTCAAATTTACAGTGGACTATAACATTCTGCTTTTGGGTTTATGGTAACCCTGTAGTATCTGAAGAATATATCAGTAGATGACCAATTAGCCGCTGCAAAAAATGTCTGTTAGATGGATACACCTCAATGTGCCTAATATGTGGAGATACTTCTTACTGATCAACATCTTATGCCTGCTAGTAAGCCTGCAATAGCAGTGGAAGAGTTGGTCTGACTGTTGTATTTCTCTGTGGCTTTCAGATAGCCAAAAGGGCAAGCATTGGGCATAGTCATTCAATATGATTGTTGTCTTGTGTGTCTGACATAGGAGGATTAAGTGCTACCAACTCAATTTCTTGGTTTCTAAACAATGTTGAGTGGAGAAGTGAGGGGTTGGGCCACAAGGTAATTGTTTCATCCACATTCCAGTGCATGCAAGATGTATTGATTGACAATGCATGGAGCTCACCAACACGCTTAGCTGACGTTATGGCATAGAGACATGCTGTCTTCATTTAAAGCCACTTTAGGTAATGTTAGTCTGATTGTAAGATCACTTACACAGCACACTTTTGAGCCGATGAGTCCGATGAGTAGCCTTACTCTAACAGTCTGAGTGGGCGCAATGGAAGGGATCTTCCCTCCCAGTCTACACAAATTAGTAAAAAACTTCCACCAACAAGCATAGATTTTCCTGTGCTCTAGAACTCAGGATTGTATTCTAGATCACAAGTCCTCAGTAGTTATTAGTCCTACTCCTCTGAGGCCAGACACGGAGCTGCAGTTGATCTGGGTTTGGGTGCCAAATCTGTCCCTGTAGCTCAAGGAGGTCCTGTCTCAGGAAGGCTCCAAGATTACCCATTGAGAAGCCTAAGTAACATTGGGATCAATAGCCGCGTTTCCACTGCCGGGCCAGGGCCGAGCCGTGCTAGTGCGTGCCAGAGCCAGTCGCGTTTCCACTGTCACTTCCGGGGCTTGATCGGGGCTTACTCGGGGCCAACGGCCAGGATTTCTGGCCCGTCAAATACCTTGGGCCAAAGCGGGCCAGCTCGGGCTAGAGGCGTGGTCAAGGTAAAAGGCGGAGTTTATCAGTGTTATGGAACGTTATGATTTGAAGCAAGATGGACATTTCACTTTTTTATGTCGCGCAAAAAAATCGCTGCTCGAAATGGAGAATCGGCTGTACTGGTCTGTCGAAGATACCAAAGCTCTTCTGAGCATTTGGGCAGAAGAAAGGGTACAACGTCAATTTAACGGCGTGTGAAAAACGAAGACGTTATAAAATACATCGATGCTGAACTTTCTAAACTAAACATTCAGCGAGCAACGCTTCAAGTTCAGGAAGAAACAAAGTTGCGGGCGCAGTATTGTACAAGGCGATTCAAAAGCACAATGGACAAAGCGGAGCTCAGAGACGGAACTTTCCAAATTCCATGGTTCGACTTGATGGATGGTGTGCTGGGTCACCGTCCCTCTGTTAGTGGAGACTCGCGAGACAATCTGGACACTATTGCAGGCTGCAGCCACGGCCGGTGAGTAAATATACATGCGATCTTCCTAACTTGAAAAATAAATAAATTCATAATACCCGCTGAAAGGGGTTGGGTGGTATGACGTTTGATCCAGAAAGGCGTGTTAGGGGCGGGGTTTAGGGCAGCGCTGCGGGGCTTGAGGCCCGAGGCCACTGGCTCGGCTCAGCTCGCTGTTAGCCCTGGCCCGGCAGTGGAAACGCAAGCCCGGTGCTTGAGGCCCGAGGCCACTGGCTCGGCTCGGCTCGGCTCGCTGTTAGCCCTGGCCCGGCAGTGGAAACGCGGCTATTGGTCTTCTGGGCCAATTTGGTGCCACTAGGAGCATCCCATCCACTGGTGCACTTGAGGTATCCAGTGGGACAATGTTTGTCTTTCAGTCCGCATTACCCGACCCCAACAAAATGTTTGTGAAAGACAGAATCCGAGGTATTCTGAATGAAAGTTTTTTTTTTTTTTTTACCTGCCATCTTTGCACGTATGCAGGATGATTGAAGGGACAGTTTGCTGGCTAACACAGGGTTAAATAGGGGAGATCCGCATGACATTCCAGGTCATGTGATGAATGTTACTATTACGTAGACTGTGGCTGCGTCCGAAATCACATAATCTCTTGAGTAGGTATTTATTTTGAATAATTACTTTACGACAGCTAAAACGCTCTGTATAGTATGAGTGTGTGTAGTATGAATGTAATCAGGACATACTAAATTCGCCATGTTGTCATTATCATGTGACCTACCAGCATCAGTTGCGTTGCTTCACCTCCATTCCCAAATCCTCTCCTGTGGCCTCATGGGATAGTAAAGTGTCCATCGGAAGCACACTTCAGATTCTCAACGGAAGTAGAAGGTCATCGGGTAGCTTTTGTCTACTCTTTTATGAGTAATGTGAATTCAGACATAGCCTACTTCTTTGTCACATACTGTTTTTTGCCTACTATATAGGGAAGTTTGCGATTTCATATCCAGCCTCTACCTGTGCTGTACAAGAGATAACATCCATTGTGAATCACTGCCTCTGATGGTCGGTGACGAAATAGAACCAAAATGAAAAAGAGAAGTGTGATCCACGGTTTAAATTTAAATATATATATTTTTACTAGATGACAGTGCTATTTCTATTGCTGCTAGGTTATAGAGTACTGTACCATTTTGAGAGTTCTTACATGTAAATGATCAAGTTTAAAACTTTTCTCTAGCACTCAATAGTGATTATGAATTTGTTTTGATTATATGTTTTTATATAATTGGTAAATTGTATATGTAAAGTTTTTCTTATTGTACAGCGCTATGGTCTACATTGAAGTTTTTAAAGTGCTTCATAAATAAAACTGAAAACTTGAACCAACCTAGTTTGGCATCACGAACAGGATTCGAACCACATTTTTCGCTACACTAAAACAAGGATATTAGAACTTTTGTGAATATCAAAAATGTCCTTTTAACTGAATTAAACGTCCTTTTAACTGAATAAAAGCAAATTGCTTTTAGTTAAAACAGCTCAAACATACATTTTAATCTGGGACTAGGCTTAAACCTTGTCTGTGAAACTGGGAGTTAGACTCATAATCTGTACAAAATAAAACTAATGTGGGGTTGGTTTATGGTTAAAAATCAGCCACAAGTTATGAAAGTCTGATCATACTTTTTTCTTAAGACTCGGTGATTTTCTTTGCATAATGCTTTGTAAAATCCATCAAAATAGGCTGTTTAATGACACATTCTATTAGAACAAGCCCCCTTTAATCCAATACCATAAGAACATGAATGATAAAATCTAAAGTGTGGACGAGGCTACAGCACATACTTATGGCATGATTTTTTTTTTTTTCTAAATCATTTTTTTTATGTTAAGGCACCAACATGTTTGACATATGCAGATATGTATAAATTATATGCAAAAACATATCTTTAGCACAAAACACCTTTCCACTACATATAGATTGATCTGATGGACAGTTTAAAATGTACTAGGTAAAAGTGTGGCTCATCCTACCCCACAGAAAATTATTATTTTCAAAATTGCAGAAATAAAATGACATTGCCAGCATGTATTTCTTAATTAATTCTGACTTGACACATGCACAGAGCTTTCCTTTAGAAGGCCAGTGGGTGGCGCTACAGACTGTTGTCAGAACAACAATTCACATCACTAAACCAAATACAATGCAGTAAATGGAGCTTCCTGGCATTTATTTGAAAGTCTTTTAAACAGGACTGTACAATTTATACCCAAAGTACATTATACAGCGGTTTGAAAAAGAGCAACATCAAAGCAGCAAAATCAAAAAACACACCAGGAAACCAAATTTACAAGAAAAAAAAAAAGAGCAAAATGTTAAACCTCTGTACAGGATGAATCTGCTGAAAGTTAATATCTGAAATTAAGGTCCTGTACAACAAATATACATGAATTCACCAGAGGGGATTCTTTTTATTTTGTCCTGCATAGGATTCTGTACATTGCCATTCATCTACATTTGGTTATTTTGTGCATTTAAACATTAGTTTGCTGCCTGGGCCTAGTGTGCCAGTAGCCTCTCTGTATGCTAGAATTACATTCTCATAGCTAGTTGAACAAAGCAAGGAAAGCTAACACTGTTGTCTGTACCACATAACATTACTACAGAGTGAAAAATGAAACCTTTGCACGCCAGTTACAGTAACTCTGAATGTATGCTCTTCAAAGAAATCCTTAATTTACTGAAACCCAGCCGAGACCATGGGAATTGATAGTGGTTTGCCAGGACTCTCCTCTTTGAACTTGGAGGCAACCATGTGAAAAACCAAATGACAAGTGTCAGATTTCAAAGTACTTAACAGTAGCTGTGCCCTATTGAGTCCTTAGAAGGCATTATTTTTCTTCAATGACTTTGTGACAGTCTTCAGATGTCTAAATATTCATAGTTTATTTTTCTTCATTTGCTTCCGAAACACTTTTCTCAGTAAACCCAAATCTCGCCGCTGCAAAAGCACAATAATTCATCACAAACTTCCTCAAGATGAGGAAGCCAGCTTCTTTTCCTTATGGCTGTCTGGAAATGTTCCCACCCTGCTCTTGGGTAGGGCGATCAGACGCTGGCCAGTCGGGCTGTCAGTCAGAGCGCTCAGTGCAAGTTGTCAATAGGAGGCTGAGTTTGGGGCCAGGGTTCCTGAGGAACTGGCCCGTCTTATGTGAGGCAGCAGGTAGGAGTCACTGCCCAGCTGGTGCACATCAAACCGGTCCTCTTTCCTGTAGGCTAGACACCGGCGGATGAAGGCCTGCAGAAAACAGTAACATGCCATTTATTACATGCGCAAAAACTCAAGGACACAATGACTTTTTGTTAACGCTTCCTTTTACAGTACAGTACTTTCGTGTACTTACCTTATATTAGCCAGTACTTTCTAGGTAAGTACACTAGAAAGTACTGGCTAATATAAGGTAAGTACACGGGTTAGGGGTAGGTTCAGGGTTAGTACCTAGTTATTACCCAGTAATTATAGTTACTATAATAAGTACATAGTAAGTACATGGGTAACAGGACTGTAAAAGGAAGCGTTACCGACTTTTTTTGTTGTTGTAGCCGTTTAGACGTTTTATTTGTTTTTGTACAAAATAATGTGAAAATATCCTCTGATTAATATAAAAATTTGATGTTTTGCCACAACAGCAATGAATGTTTTCTCAAACAGACTAGTATGTCACATAGTTCAGCAATTTATGATGTTTTAACAGTGAAAACTCTTGCGTTTTATTTGTTTTTATTTATTTAGTTCCTACATGGTTTCAATTTTTTTTTTTTTTTTTTTTTTACAAAACTCTTATTAGATGTTAAATATGGTCTGAAAAATCTACAATGTGTTTAAGGCCCTGTTTACAAAAGTGTTTTTTGCTTTAAACAGTAAAAATGTCACAGAGCCGTTAGGAGAGACGGCTCCGGGCTGCGTTTCACAAAAGCATCGTAAGCCTAATTGATCGTAGAACAATTGCCACTAATGGTTTCTACGATCAACTTAGGCTTACGATGCTTTTAGGAAACGCAGCCCTGGTGTGTTATTGTCGTGTTCCGGTAGCGTAATGTGGGCAGGCATGCCTTCGTTTTCAAAAGTCTCCGTTTTGGTGCGTTTACACTGAAAAGCAACCCCAGAGTTTTCAAACTAAAACAGGGTCTGCAGCGTTTTCTGAAGTATCGCATTCGAAGTAGTGTGGACGCCAGGCATAACCGTAGCAAAAGTTATGCGTTGTAAAACAAAAATGCACTAGTGTAAACAGGGCCTAAATTTCAACTGTTAGCATGTCACATTCTAACTATGTATGATATTAAGTTGGCAAATAATTAGCCAGAATACTGTAGCTACTATGAGCGCTTCCTTATCTGTTGCTGAGTGACATGATGGAGGCACACACTCGTTCATTTAGTGAAGTTCAAAAGAGACTTGCTTACTGTAAAATGAAAATATGTGCCTTAAATTCATTCAGTTGTGTAAAATGATCACTAAACTTGTGGCTGCACTGGCTGACTGCTCCCTTGACTTGTATGATACATTTATTTTTAAAAATTATATTTTAGAAATCAGAATTGGGGCAATAGTCTGGAAACATACACTGATGAGCCAAAACATTATGATCAGTCACAGGTGAGGCGAATATCATTGATCATCTCCTAACAAGGCCACATATTAAGGTCTGGGTAGATTAGATGGTAAGCAAACATCAGTTCACGTGATCGACGTGTTGGTTGCAGGAGAAATGGGCAGGAATAAAGATCTGAGTGACTCTGACAAGGGACAAATTGTTATGGCAAGGCGACTGGGTCAGAGTGTCTCTGAAGCGGCAAGGCTTGTGAGTTGCTCCCGGTCAGCATTGGTGAGGATTTACCAACAGTGTCAAACCACAAACCGGCGACAGGGTGTTGGACGATGCACAAGGAAAACGAAGACTATCCCGTCTGGTCCAAACCGACTGAAGGTCTACTGTGGCATATGGGAGGAATGCGTCACAACACACGCTGCGTTGCCTATGATGACCCCTGTGACCCCTGTCCACCGTCAAAAGCACCTACATATGGGCACACGAGTGTCGGTACAGGACCTTGGGCCAGTGGAAGAAGGTAGCCTGGTCTGAGGAGTCCCGTTTGGAGTCACTTGGAGGGCCGTGTACATGTGTGCCGTTTACCTGGGGAATGATGCACCAGGATGCAGTGTGGGACAATGAAAACACAGTGGAGGGAGTGTGATGCTCTTCTGGGAAACCCTGGGTCCGGCCATTCACGTGGACACATGCCACCTACCTAAATATTGTAGCAAACTAGGTACACACCCCTCCCTGGCAATGGTATTGCCTGGTGGAAGTGTCTCTTTCCGCTGGATAATGCCACACTGCACACATTGTTCAGGGATGGTTTGATGAACATGATGAAGAGTTCAAGGTGTTGACCCGGCCTCCAAATTCACGAAATCTCAATCTGAGCATCTGAAGGATGTGCTGAAACAAGTCCGATCCACTGCAGTTGCACCTTGCAACCTACAGGACTTGAAGGATCTGCTGCTTAAGTCTTGGTGCCACACATTCAGAGGTCTTTTGACACCACACGGACGACCAACAGCATATTAGGCAGGTGGTCATAATGTTTTGCCTCGTCATCGGTGTATATATTCCATAGCAGCAAAGCACAGTGAAAAAGCAACATGATCTCGTTCAACTTCATTGGAGAAATGGTGAATTCCGGCTGAATGGGTGACAGTGACTGTGGGTGACAGGATGAAGGCAAGTCCAGAGACGCAATGTTGAGAATGTAATTATATGCAAAAGAAGAACGACTTTCGGGAGCGACAGCCAATGTGTCAGTGTCATCTCGAATGCAGATAAGACAGAACAGAGAATTTATGAGCAATTTCACAGTTCTATATGATTTATCTGAAACCAAACACATGGATATAATATAAATATAATTCTGGCAGTCTCAGTGAGTTTGATTCATACATTGATCATTCTTGTTGATTATTATTACTGAACCGCTCATTGCATCATAGAAAGTTCATATTACATTTTTCTCTGCATAATGTTCATTATTGGGGCAAAACAAATATTATTTGTATGATTTGAATGACGTTTTTCGGCAGTATGAGTAGTATTTTGATAGAGGGTTAATGATTTGAAGCACTAGCACTGCTGTAGTTTATATAACACCACTCTCCAAAAGCAGAATATTACTTTTTTAGAAAACTAATTCCAAGTCAAATCTCAGTTTTACCATCAATATATCTCATTTGTGATGTGGTGGACTTTTAATAGATAAGATTACTTATGTTACTAACCATAAAAATCTGATTTTAGATTTACATCTGATGATAAACTTTTATCACACTTCCCATTTTTATGTCTGATGGTGACTAACTTTCCATTCTAGATCTAACAATAAAACAAAATAAATCTTACTTCCTTTTATTAAGGATGTAGCCATCAGACGAACTTTCGATATGATCTAACCTTCTAACAAACGTTTGACTCAATGTAACCTTGGTCAATGGAACTGTGAAAATGGACTAAACGTTCCGTTCTTTGACTGTATAGTAAAATGATTGACTGAAATATTAACCCCTTACAATGTTTTTTGATGATACAGGATATTTGTTGCTGATGTCACTAACAAAGGGTAATGAGAAGGGAGGGGGACTTGCTTTAAACAATTTAACCAATCATATTGATAGAGCGTGACATGTTAGTCATGATGAGTCTATTTTGATGTGTCTGGCTTTATCCTATAAAGCTTGTTGTATTCTTCTTTTGGGTTGAGATTCTCTGAGAACTGCTCGAGAACTCCCGGCCATAATAAAGAGCATTTAAAGGACAATAACTCAAGTCTGTCTGTCATTTAAGCTGCGCAGCAAGAAAACAAGCAAGTTAGAATTATAGGATTAGACTCGGCTGTAGTCGACTGAAGATTCACTGGAGTATAGGATTAGACGGATGCTGTAGTCGATTGGAGACTCGCTGGAGTGTAAACTATAGCTAACGTCAATGTATAGGCGCGCTAGAGTATAAGTATTATAGGTACGTAGTTAGGTTTAGGGAAAAAAATCTACAACAGTGATCACATTTTTGAAGATACATGTGCAGTCTACCAAAAAACATTAGAGCAAAAACACTTGGATCGGCCATTATAGACCCTGTAGTGACAAAGGCCCTGGTGGGGCTGGTGAATGGGGCTTTACTAATCTAGCACTACTGCATGTGGATAATTGACAAGTAACAAGAAACATGGACATTTCATCAATATTTTAGATATTTTAGGTAGGGCTGGACCCGAAAATATTCAGTTGGTATTCGATTTGAAAATGTGACATTTGAATATTCGTTTTTTGTGTGTTTTTTGCACACCTGGCAACCCCCTCGAAACGGTTCTCATTCGCGCTTGAATATGTTTTACACTATAAAATCTGGTGAAATATAATACTTAACATATAACTTCGTTATCGCTACTTAAATATATTTGCTGCTTCTTGGACTACTAAAAGTGTTCCTGCAACAGGTGTATTCTCTGGCTTAGGGCTGGGCGATATGGCTGAAAACTGTATCACGATATCAGTGTTTCATATCGGTCGATATCGATAATTATTGATTTTTTTATGACCCATTTAAAATAAGGACCAGGAGAAAAAATATATTACATTTAAACATTTTTATTTTAAACTTACCCTTCCTCTGATTACAATCCCAAGACAGAAATGTCAACACAACCATGGAAAACTCAAATAATTCAAATGTAAACATAAGTCTAAATTCACAATCAGACCTGCAAACTCCTCAGAGTAAAAAAGGTGACAGTGGCGCGGCGGGACGGGGGTGGTGGGGGTTTGTGATCGTACGTGCCCCCTGCTTGATTTCTTTTTTGAGACATCACGGTTCGGTACGATTTCGGTACAATGGAGTAAAAAGCAAAACAGAAATATATTAGGCATTTTTATAAATGTCTTAAGCCTTGTATTTTTAAAATAAGTTTTATTAATAAAGGCATAGAACCAGTTTATTTATAGTGCACTGATAATAGTTTTATATAATTGGTTTATTAATTAAACTAATAAAAAGATAGATATGAGATATGTTTGGTAATTGTACCTGAATGAATTTAATTTGCTATATTTCAGATCAATATATTTGTTTTCCTTAATTTTAATTAACCCTAACTTTATTCTCATCAGAATTATAAATAATTGATTTCCGTATAAAATAATCTACCAACATATTTCACTTTCTTTTTTAATCAATGTGTAACTTAAAAATAAACAGATTAGTGCTCTGTTTTGAGGACAAGAAATGAAAACCAATGCGATATGATGAATGTCCAAAAGATGGAACACACAGACTGTTTTAAAAAGGGGTTGGATAAATATGTTTTGCTTTTAAAACGGTGTGTGACAGTTGTAGTAGGTTACAGTTTGACAAGAAATACAGTGTGACAAAAGCACAATGTTGTGTTTTATTGCGAGTATAGGCCTACACAAATATAAGTAAACACTTTGCAGACTGAATGATGTCCTGTATTAACAAAATTACGGAGTATGTTTTTATGTCTCCACTGTTCGATCGCGCCCGCGTGTCTCTCTCTCTCTCTCTCGCGCGCGCGCGCGGAGTCGGACACACACACACACACACACTCCAGCATTGAAATCTTGACATCGCAGCCTGTTCATTATGCTGTGTTCACATCAAACGCGAATAGAGCGAATTATCCAATAATGTTTCGCAACTCTAGCCTGCATGCCATCCAGATGAAGGGCACTCATTTTCTGCTTATCAATCGCCGGTTACTGAAGAGGAACCCAGCAGCACGAGACAACGATATGGCGCAACAAAACTGACACGTTACATGATTGCCTGTTAGCGTGTCACTCCCTACGTTGCTAGGTTACCAGAGAGCGAGTGCCTTTAATGCAACCAAACTTGCTTCGCAACCTGTGGTTTCTTCCGACGAAGAAAAAAAATATCGAACGTTTTATCGAACACATTTTTTATTGATATCGATCACGTGTCTATCGCGATACATATCGTTATCGTTTTATCGCCCAGCCCTACTCTGGCTAGAGCGCAGAACAGTATGGGCAGTATTGTATGGGCAGAAGTGCATGCCTGAGCTTGTGTTTTGGGTTAAGCTGCGTTGCTTTGACATTGTGGAAAATAGAATCAAAATGTATTATCCTTTTTACCCGTTATTATCAATCTAAATTAATCTACTGCAAAATATTAATAGAAATTTGTGATGTTGTTATTGAAATTGTTATTGCTACCGTGTTCTTTATTTAGGCTATTACAGTTCGTTCATTTATTTTTCGTTTGTCTTTATTTAAATTTCGTTTTTATTTATTTAAATTTCGTTTTTATTTATTTAAATCTACCCGACTTTGTCAGTGAGAATATTATAAGACTATACCTTATTAAAAATATTGCTTAAGTTAAAAGACCTCATGTGTGTGTGTTTTATATGCAGTGTCCATTCTCGGAACATATAAGCCCTGCTCGCGTGAGGCGCACCGCTTCTTTATTTAAATCTACCCTACTTTGTCAGTAATTTGTTAGTGAGAAAAATATTAGAAATGGTAAATGGTAAATGGACTGCATTTATATAGCGCTTTCACAGACCCAATGGCCACCAAAGCGCTTTACAATTTGCCTCGCATTCACCCATTCACTCACTCATTCATACACCGACGGCAGCGTCAGCCATGCAAGGCGCCATCCAGCTCGTCGGGAGCAGCCGGGGTTAGGTGTCTTACTCATGGACACCTCGACACTTGGTCAGGTGGAACCGGGGATTGAACCACCAGCCTTCCGGTTTGCAGACAACCTACATGAACCACTGAGCCACTGCCGCCCCTAATTAGAAGACTTATTAAAAATATTGCTTAAGTTAACAGACCTGTTTGTGTTTTATATAGTGCGTGCAGTGTCCGTTCTCGGAGCATGTAAGCCCTGCTCGCGTGAGGCTCGCGCTTCCGCTTGCACTGTTCTGTAGTTTATTAAAAGTTTATTAATTCTGAACATGTCGTGTCTCGCCTGTCTATATCTATAGTGCACCAAATACGACACTGCACTCCTTGTGAAGTCGTTTGGATGAACGGTTCTCGAAATAATCAAAATGCAAATGGACAGACAGATAGAGATTCCGAAGCTCAAAAAATGGTATTCGGACCAGCCCTAATTTTAGGTGCTGCAACTGCTAAAACTTTCATTGAAGACAAATTATTAAAACCACTAATATTCAATATAGTCTCTCAATTAATGTTAGCTAATAACAACTGCAAGCATAATAATTTATAAAGGAATAAGCAAAAGTTGTTTAAAATAGTTCTAGATCAGTGGTTCTCAAACAGGTGGCCAGGGTTCTCTAGGGGGCCTCAAATAAGACAATACAAGCAATACAATAGGCTAAAATTCACCCCTTCAATCCCCTTGAAGAAAATATACAGTATACAAGATTTTCTACTTCTTTTAAAAGAGTGATTAATAAAATCTCATAACTCCATGGGCATTTTAACAAAGAACATACAAATTGTGTGAAAAACTATTTTAAAAATCCTTCTCACAAAAGACTGGAAAAGGAAATTCATTGGTTAAAAAGTCACACTACAGAAACTGCTGTGATACGTCAGGTCAAACACCCATAAACCTTCAATCATCAATATTTACTGATTACCTTGGCTTCGTTGCTGGCAACAGGTTTGGAAGGGAACTGAACCTCTGTGGCTTTCAGGATGGTGTTCTCCTGCAGGATGTCCTGCTGGGACTGGTTATGGCCAAATGGCTAGAAAAACAAATCAAGTTTGCATGGTTATGCTAGCTTGTAATAACAAAACCTAGTTCTACAGATGGAAAATGACAGGTATTCCCCCTATTACTCTGTAACTTGTTAAATGGCACTGATAATATTACCATTAATTCCGAGAATTGCTCCTTACCTTTCTTCCATAGAGGCACTGGAAAAATATGACCCCGACAGACCAGACGTCCACCTTATTGGAGATCTTTGGAGGCTCTTTACCCACCACAAAACACTCAGGGGGGAGGTACCTTACAGCCACAACAAGACACAACTGAGCTACATACTTTAAAAGGCAAAAGCCAAATTATGAGTGTATTTGCGAGCGTTACCAGTAAGTGCCTGCGCCTTGGGATGTCAGGTCCATTCCATCGACTCCGTAGTTGTCGTCGTCCATGATTTTAGACAGTCCGAAATCTGTGATCTTTATCTCTCCACATGCAGTTCCATCTACCAGTAAAATATTCCCTGTACACAACCACACAAAAATAAAAACACAAGAACATGGATTCCTTAAACTGGAGTATCTTTGTTATACCCTTTACGTATGCACGATAAGGGTGAGTGAATTCTATAAAAAAAATATAAGATATTTTGTATACTTTTAATAAGTGCTGTCAAACGATTAAAATATTTAATCGCGATTAATCGCATTAATGTCAGTTAACTTGCGATTAATCGCAATTAATCGCACATTTTTATCTATTCTAAATGTCTCTTGATTTCTTTTTGTCCCATTATTTTTCCTCATTTTAATGCTCTTATCAACATGGAAAAGTGGATCGGCTTGCTTTGTGCAAATGTTTTTTTATTGAAAACAACATTGGCATATACAGTGTTCAATTTCACACTAACATTCTCACTTGGAGCATATAATCTCTCAATGTAACACTGTCCATCAATAAAAGGATGAAAGAAATACGAAATGATGAGGGGGTGGAGAATTCGCATCGGCTGTGTGTGTGTGTGTGTGTGTGTGTGTGTGTGTGTGTGTGCTTGGCCATCATCAAGTGGTATTTCAGACTGGACGTGCTGCGATGATGATAGCTCAGTTCACAACGACAAAACACACAGATCACTTTGGTCTCGTCAATGGAACCATTTGGCAACTTTTTAAAAGTAAACTTTCCATTCAGAATCTTATTGGCATCCATTTCGGCGTCTCGCGCTCGTCATCCACTCAAAACGTAACGTTAACCTACTATTTGGCCGGCTCGCAAGCCCAAACGAGTGTGCCTGTTGTTTTGTTTCCGGTCTAGCTAGATCTTTGTTTCTTGGTCGACAAAGCAACAAAACGTCCTCGTGCGGCACAAGCCATTGAAATGAATGGGTTTCATAGTGCAGCGCATGCCGCGTCCTGTTGCAAAAGCATGTGGGAAAAAAACTACAAAGTTTGCCAGGCCAAAAAGAAAAAAATTAACGCCGATAAAATGGGTTTGCGTTAACGCCGGTAATAACACGTTTAACTGACAGCCCTACTTTTAATACTTCTATACTTCTACTTGTTCTTTCTATTTAGCAAATAATCCTGGAAAAAAAAATTTATCATGATTTCCACAAAAACATTAAGCTGTACAAAGGTTTTCAACATCGATAAGAAATGTTTCTTGAGCATCAAATTAGCTATGATTTCTGAAGGGTCATGTGACATACAGGCAGAAAGTCATGGATATTTGAGTGTTAGAGAGCTGTGAAAAGAGAAAGACAGAGAATGTGTGTTCACCAGGTTTGAGGTCATAGTGAATTATGGGTGGCTTGATCTCGTTCAGGTATCGTAAAGCATTAACGATCTGCATGACGATAGAGCGAGCCTCTTTCTCAGACATCAGCTTGTGCTGTTTCAAGTAGAAATCCAGGTCGTTTCCTTCACAGTATTCCAAAACCGTACAAAACCTGCGGGAAACAGACAACCTAATGTAACTTGCGTCCAACCTCACAGATGTGTTCTGATAGCTGATTGGTGAAATTTGCATGGCTGGAACTCACGTGTCTGTGTCCAGTGAAAAGTAATCGTACAGTTTTACTATTCTGGGATGATCCAACTGTTTATGTATTCGGTATTCCCGGCAGGCGTGTCTGCGGAGAAGAGAGGCACGGGTTACCATTGGCAACAGAGGTGAGACCCAGGCGACCAGCGTCATGAGAGACAGACGGACTAAATTTCCAGACATTTCAAGTTCTGCACAGAATACCAATTGGCATGGAAATACACCCTTACATAATGTCCCCACACCACAATATGAGCCTGCCACATATCAATCGCACATAAAAATAGGAGAGAATTGGCTCTAAAAATAAAGGAATCCTTAAAGATTATATGTTTATCTCTGTAAAGCTGCTTTGAAACAATCCATTGTTAAAAGCGCTATATAAATGAAGATGACTTGACTAAAGGAATGTTTTGGGTTAAATGCAGCTTAAATATGGCATATTTCAATGAAAATGAGGCTGTGAGGGATAGACGTACTGTCCGTCAAATTCACAACAGATGTTTTTCAGTATTGTTTTGTCTATTGAGAATGTTTTTGGAAAGATATATTTCCAATGTTGTGTTGGCTGAACATACTGAAAAGGTTGTACATGTCAACCCTGTCTATAAAGTTAAAGTGCATAATTCAAAATCTGAAATGTACTTTATTTCTTGCGGTGATGCACAGCACGCCACTGATGTATTTAACATGAACAGCATCAAAGAGGAGGAACGTACTTGTGGTAATTTTCTTTCTTCTCCTCTCTCCAGTTTTTGTTGAGCTGATGAATCTTCACAGCAGTGTACCGTTGCTCAATTAAGTCAAACGCCTGAAGAGCAGAATGATGAATTCAAATGATCCGTTTCTTTCTCAAAGGTCAGCATGAATCAGGCTCTGTTATAAATGAGGGGTAAAGATACCTTGTAGACCTCACTGAAACCACCCCGACCGAGCAGATGTAACAGCAGATAGCGTTCATTCAGGGTGGGATGGTCCTTGAATCTAAGAAAGGTTTTTAAAAAAAACAACAACAAAGAGAAACAGGAGAAAAAGGGAGGGTTGGTGGAAAATAATCATGGAAAACTATGTAATTTATGTTTTCAGTGAAACAAATAAACCAATGAATAAATGGACAACATTTTAAAAAAAATGCTACAAAAGTGTAGAATATGGGCCCATTACAGGCAGTGAACTCATGAAACTGCTGTTAATACGAGGAGTCAATGTCCACTTCAAAAGACACAAAATGGAAGTAAAAACGAGATCAGAGGCTGATGTCATCAGTGACGGTACATACTGTGAGCTGTCCTCATTGTTTATTCTTTTCAACTCTCGGATGTGAAGATTTCGCACCCTCTCCAACCTCTCCAGCTCTGCCTGAATCTCTGCCTCCTCCTACAAATGCACAAATGCAAAAAAAAAGTCATGTGTCATTTTGTTTCCATAAGGTTCAATGGTTGTCAAATGTTTCCAAGGCAGAGAATCAACATGTTAGAATGATGAAGACATAATGCTGAAAATTCAGCTTTGATCACAGAAATAAATTACATTTTAAAATATATCCAAATAGAAAACAGTTATTTTAAACCGTAATAACATTTCACCATATTATTGTTATTTTACTTTGATAAAAATAAATGCAGCCCTGCTTCTTTCAAAAACATTAACAATCTTACCAACCCCAGATCTCAATTCTAGCACCTTCATAATTACACATTAAAAGATGACTAATTCATTTTTGTATTCATTTGATAGCACTAGTTAAAACATTTAAAAAAGAAAAGATGCTGTCTGTCTTTGTTTCTGCAGTGTAAAAATGACATTAATCTAAACATTTTTGGTAATTAATTGCGATTAATTCCACATAACATTTAAGTTTTTAATATATTTTTTATATTATAATACTTTCACATTTAAAATCTCCAAATTAGTGTAGAAACAACATTCAGTATATTTTTAATATTTGATCTAACAGGTAGGAAATATTCAGAAATTACATCAAACACTTCATGGTCTTCCCTGGATAAATTATAAAATAAATGTAGATTAATCCTTATTAAAGCTATAAAAGTTATTCAGTCAAGAAATGCTAAATGCTAGCTAAAGGATGACACAAAAATATTTAACGCCTTTTTTTAACACATTAAATTGAAAAAAATTCAATCGCATGCATTAACACATTCATTTTGGCAGCCCCAGTTTGAACCTGAGGAGGATCTGAATCATACAGGAGCCACTGAGCTTGAGCACTGACCTTTTTGAGATGGCCGAGTCTCAGCTTGAAGATCTCCTCCTGCTCGTGGTACTCAGCTAATGTTAGCCTGAGGGAACATCAGAGGAACAGGACTGAAAAACCCCTCCACACATGTACTGGGTTAGGATGCTCTGACTGTCAAATGAGTTTCAAACAATTATTGCTTATGCGATCTCAGCACACTGCTCACTTAACAGGCTATTTTTCATATTGTGGAAAGAAATGCCTTCAAACTTACATTTGGCTCCTAATAAATCATGTCCTGCCATTTTTCAAACTATAAAAAATATTTCTGTTTATTTTAAAATAATTCAGATTTTAATAACTATAAACAAAACCATTGTCAAGCATTTAAACAATCATTTAGATCAAAAAGTTAAGATCTTCAGAAATATGTAGGTCAAGAGTGTCCAAACTTTTGACTGGTAGTGCATATTTTTGGTACATCTGATTAAGGATCATTTCTAGAAAATTAAATCAGTGACCGCGGATACGGAGACACGGGATGCAATTCGCTCTGTTGTGGAGAATATTCCCGCCATTTGTTAAACATTTTGAATGGAGGTGATGATGTGGCCCTACTCCCGACAGGTTTTGGGAAAAGTTTAATTTATCAACTATTACCGATCGTCAGCGAGAAACTGGGCAGGCCAAAGGCCGGCAAGGCGATAGTTGTGATTGTGTCCCCCTTGGTTGCACTCATGTACCTCGTTCCCCCAAAAAAGAACTGGTTCGGAACTGGTGCTGGTTCAAAGTTGGTTCAACTTGCGAACCTTCTCAGAACCTGTTTGTTTTTCCACTGACTAGAGAGCCCAGCGAACGACGTCGTTACGTCACTGTGTACGTCGCCATACGTCTTAGCTTTCCCATTCCCGTCGTGTTGTTGTTCACAGTAACCCGCCCCCAGCCCCCGACGTAAGCATGGCGTGGTAAAAGAACGGTTCTAGTCCAGCAAAGAGTTGGTGCCGCTTTGGAACCAATTTTCCAGGCCGAGAACCGGTTCTTTGGCTGTCGAAACACAAAGAACTGGTTTGCGAGTTGGCACCGGCTCCGAACCGGCTCTCAAAATGCTTTGGTGGAAAAGGGGCAATGGAGGATCAGGTTAAGGAGGCAGCAAAACTCGGTCAGCCATGTTCACTCCGGTATTTCGCTCGATGGATTCGTTTTCGCATCATACATGTGTTTACAGTGGAAGTTCGATGTGGCTGAGCTGGCAAATAACACACGTCATAACCAGACGTTCTGTGATTGGCTTACGGGTAACCAATGATTTTATACTTCAGACAAGCGCCCACCCGCGAGAAAGAAAACACTTTTCAATTATGCCATGCCAGACTCGGTCTACGAAGCAAAGCGAAGTAGCAGAGTTTGATATTACCAGGCTAGTGAATGTTAGTGAAGCATGCAAAACATGGAAGGCCGTTGTGTGTGTGTGTGTGTGTATAACAGAGGTTGTACATTGTGGTCATGTATTGCATGACTCACAGCTGTGGAAGGCTGGGTTTGAGGAAGGGGTCGTTGTCAGAACCGTTCACAGCCTTGGTCTTTCGTTGTTTCGGCTCAGAGTTGGTGCTGGGCGACTGTGAGCTGCTGGATGCTGGTGGTTTTCTCTTAGCTAACAATTTCCTCTGTCTTTCGATTTCTTCACGTTGTTGAATGATCCATTCCTGCTGTCTGCATAAAAAAGTCAATAAAAACAGTTCATAGGCAATAGAACAACTTAAATTCTGTAATAAAGTGAAATCTGTAATGGACTGACAGATCTACAAGAGACCTGAGGCCCGTTCACACTAAGAACGATAACAATAGAGATAACTGTAACAACTATATTTTGTATTTTTTATATTATCTATTTTTTTAACAGTTGTTTGTGGCTTGAAATGCTCAAGCTCTTTAAAGGAGTAGTTCACTTCAGAATTTAAATTTCCTGATAATTTACTCATCCCCACATATTCCAAGATGTCCATGTCTTTCTTTCTTCAGTCGAAAAGAAAAGAGTAAATTATCAGGAAATTTTAATACTGAAGTGAACTAATCCTTTAAAGTCAGGAGGATTCTGATTGGCTGTCAATTTTCTGATCGAATATTTTTTTTTCTAAAATTCCAACCATGTTTTTTCTTCTGTGTTATCTTTAAAGTTTTGGTGTACTCCTATTCCCGATGAATAAGACCAATTATAAAAACTTTAGTTGTAGTTTTCGTCCCTGGTGTGAACAAGGCAAGGCAAGGCAAGTTTATTTATATAGCACATTTCATACACAATGGTCATTCAAAGTGCTTTACATAGAAAAATCTAAAGAAATAAGAATAATTAAAACAGTTTAGAATAAAAAATAAAATACAGTACAAAGCCTTTACTATAGAGATGGGTGAAAATGTGACAAAATGAAGACAGACAAAACAGTTGGGGCACTTTAGCCCAAAGTATACTTCTTTTTACAAGTCAAGTTATCAGAGCACAGATCACCTATTAGTATTAGATTATGTGCTTATGCTGTCAAACTTCAGTGAGTGTCTTACTTGACGAGGTTCTGGAAGGCATATCCGTCTGTCCACTGCTCTGTAAACGAGGCTCCGTGTCTCACAGTGGTGAAATGACCCAAACGCAGTCGATCCTGCATGCTCTTCTCCCGACACGCCTGCTTCTCCTGTGTGCTCTGGACAAACACACACTTTTATAAAGATCTGAACCACTTCTTACTCTTTGTACCATTTTCAAACTATTAAACTTTGAAGCTTTTGGTTAAACGATGCCATTACACAGATATTGAGGTAATAAGACATCAATTATTTGATGTGTGTATTTAAATTTGCATATGTAATAACAGGCCAGCACTGGGTCATTGTTAGAATGCTACAACACTGATTTCTTAAATATCACAAGGATTCTTCACCTTCTCAATCAGAAGTTTCTTGCTCATGGTGATGCACTTGTTTAAACGTTCTTTGTACTTTTCTAGGAGCTTTTGTTGTTCATCAATTTGTCGTCTTAGATCACAGTTTGCCTGTGGAGAAGAGGAAGAGAAAATGCATTTACAAAAATTCAGACTCTACTCAGCTGAACTACTTTAGGAAAAAGAGATTTCTCATAACATCACAAAAACAATTTGATACATCATAATTTTCGATGAGATGAATTATTTTGTCTTATGTTACTCCTTCCCATCCCATCTTTTCCCCCTCTCTCTCTCTCTCTCTCTCTCTCTCTCTCACCCGCAGCAGATCGTCTATCCTGCCCTCCTTCTTCTCCAGGTCCAGGTTCTTATTGCTCTCTATAGTGGCCAGTTTTACCACCGTCAGGTCAGTCTGCAGAAGAACAAAATACAAACATAACATAAAAATATGTAGTTGTCTTGAATTGTTTGTTTTATAAATGCCTTTCTTCAACAACTGCAATTCAAAGCTGCAAGGTTCATTTGTATCAGAACAGATTTCACTTTTTTTATTTTTGATATATGAAGATCAGACATAAAACGGAAACTTTTTACCACACATTAAGTCATTTATTTGTTCTACTTTTTAAAATGCCTTTTATGTTTAGATTTGATTATTTTATCATTATCCCAGAAAAAAAAGACGAAATAAAATATTTCAATATTTATTGAACTATTTTAAACTCATTTCTACCACAATCAACACTTTTTGCCCTTAATGAAGCTTTCACCCCTCTTTTAAAAAAGTAAGGATACTCACATAAAACTCAGTTCAAAATCATCAGATTAATTGATTGTTGTAATCTACAGTTTGATTCGAAGATGAGAGCAAGTGCATTGTGAGCGGTCCCACCTGAATACTCTTGACTGCCATCAGTCTAGAAGAAATCACAGAGTCCCCAAAACACAGGCTGGTGGGAGACGAGCTGCTTTGCCGGGTCTGATCAAATACAAGATTGTACATTATTTGATTAAACTGCATAGTAATGAGAGGCACAAGTAGACAGTTTGTATTGTGGCTGAGCTGAAACTATACAAGTGTTGTGACATGTATGTGTGTGTGAGTCGTGATTGCGTATGATACACAATCAGTGAAGTGAACTGAGTCAGAGCGAGGCCCAGTTTACACTCACACATCTCGGATGCAGTGTTCATTTTGACAGCGAATTTTGATTTAGTTTTTAGTCAGTCTTTTGGCTTAAAATGCCATTTAGCTTTAGTCATATGAATCGTTTTATTTAGTCTACTAAATACCGGTATGTCAATATTGCTTGCATCGGTTGCAACACAATCTTCGCACTCCAGTTTATGGTGCTGTTGTAAATGGGAGAAGAGATTTGAAATGCTTACACTTTTGGATGCAAAATGTATATTTTAGTCAGAATTATGGCATTTCCTTTTCTATTGTGCTGTCTGTTTGACATGCATGCGCTCTTTCAGTGAAGGTTGTGAAGTTTAGCAGAGACTTGCATGCTTTTATTTTCCATCCATAGCTCACACTGCGTCCACCTTTATTTTTCAGATGTGTTTATCGCATAGGGATGGGCGATATGGCAAAAATACCATATCAGGATTTTTTTCAGGAAAATCTATTTTAAAACCATAGCTTTACAAGGTAACAAAATAAAAAAAATAATGGCCGACATTTAGGCCAAAGTGGTAAAAATCTTTGTCATTATTTTCTTTGCTATTAAAAAATAAGAACAAAGATACACATTACACATACACAACATACCAATGAAATAAACAGTTATTTGTTCAGCTACAGTATGTGTATTTAACAGTAGCATTCAAGAAAGAAATTAAATGGAAAAAATATTTTTTAAAAAACACTACATAGACTTTACTGTATAAATTATACACTTTCTTATTAAATACTTATTAAAGCTACTATTAAAGTAACCAAAGAGTTGCTGGTCCACAGTGACTTTAATAGTATATTTTTCCTACTATGAAACTCAATGGGGACCAGCAACTGTTCTTCAAAATATCTTCTTTTCTGTTCAGCACAAGAAAGAAATGAATACAGGTTTGGAATAATGACAGAACTTTCATTTGTGGGTGAACTGTCCCTTAACCTGTGTGCATCCTTATGGACATTTTTGTCTTTTTTGCCCGTGTAAATGCCAACTGCATACATTTTGGCACAGGTCTGTATTTAAATTTGGAATTTTACGATTTCACCCACATTTCCTTTAATAATTTTTTTTTTTGCACTAGGTACACAAAATAGTTTCTCTCAGCACCTTTTGGACAAAAATATCAATATATGGTGCAATTTTTAATCCCAGGGCCATTTAACTATAAAATGATGCAATATTTGTTAAGAAGCTTTAATTCTGTTGGCAAGGCTTCAAAATGTTAACTTTTACTATTTTTTTTACCAGATGGTGCTATTTTTTCAGGTTTGGGCTAAAAAAGCAAATACTCACTTTATTCCTGTTTTCTGCTTCGGCATATTATAGAGCCAATTGGAAAAATGATGAAGCGAATTGATGAATTGTGTGGGTGTGTTGGTATGGATGTCAGAGTGTGGTTTGTATGTGTGTAATAAAAAAATGTTTGCGTGTGTGTGCTTTTAATATTTGAAAGAAAAACTCGACTGCAAATCACAAATCCAACCGCTCTGTGCACCAGTGGAGTTTTGCTGGCATCTAATGGGGAAAATGTGGTACTGCGCCCAAACAAGATCTTACTGAAAGCTCATTTTTTGAGATATCAACCTCAAATTTGGAACACAACTTGCTTAGATTTATGGCTTTGATTTTCTAGCAGTTTTAGAGTTCAGCATGTTTCATAAAATATTAATTTTATATAAAATAATGTTCATAAATCATTTTCATAAACTTAAACCTCTATACCTTTTTTGGGGGTTTTACTTTTTATTTTATCTTTTCAACAATAATCTGCCAAGGGTCTTCTTTAAAATGAGAGAGTCTATGCACCCAAGCTTCAAATTTTTATGACAGTTTTTAACACGGACATTTTTGTCCACTATGGACCTGTGTGTAGGTTTTTTTAATTGATGCACAAGGGTTAAGGACAAGCGGCAGCATGTTAACTATTAGGCTACTGTCACTTTAAGACCGACACGCACCCGATTTTCTCTCAAATGTTTGTGTTTACTTAAGACATAAACCAATGTAAACCTTGTGTGTATTTGACAGTATTAGCGGAATAAGACTCTAAAGATAACTTAGTCCAGTAACCAGGCGCTGTTTGACAGGCTTTTACTGCCTGTGAGCTTCGTGTATGAAAAGTAGAATGTGCGCTGTAGCACAATATTTCTTAAAGCAGATAAAAAATCGTGATATAGCACATCCCTATCGCAGAATCAACGTGAATTTCTTCTCAAACAGCACTATAACATAATGGTGAAATCAGAGATCCGCCTTTTAAAATCTGATCACAAGTGTTCACAGACGCATGTTACTACTGGGAAATACAGCCGTCTGTCATCTTGTGATCAGATCAGTCAAGACGGCTCTTAATACCAGGTGTAAACAGGGTTAGAGAGAGTGTGTGTGACGTACGCTGGATCCAGGTGCAGAGTGGGAATGTGAGTTCAGGGGTGAACGGATGACAGGCGGTAAACCTCTTACTGGACTGGACCCATTACCACCCTGAAACTACAGAAAGAAGGAAATAAACAACTCATGTCGCTTGCAATTATGACCTATGTAAGCACATCAAGACACCACTCCACTTAACACCATATGAAGAGGAAGTGGAGAAAAAAATGTGCACAAACCTTCGAGCTCATGTGCATCGTCAACACATGAGGTTTTAATGTGCATAATATCAATGAGATTTGAGATCTGCGGCAGAAGGTAAGATATTCAGAAGACTTGAAATGTATTGCACAAGGTTTTTTTTTTTTTTTTTGGGAGGGCAAACATCTTTGTTTGGGGGTGGGGGGTTGAAAGCCACTGGTCATTGTATACTTTCACTGCATGGAACAGAGCAGCTTGGACATTGTGTTCAATTTTTGCTCCCCAATATAGCAAAACTGGCTCTAATTTGGATCAGACACATGGCAGACAGGGAGTGAGTTCGGGAAACCTTGTTTGAAAAGAATTAATCATTGAATCTTTTTTTTGCAATGCCGGTAGCACAAAAATAGTACATTACTACACATACAAAGACAGAATTAAATTAAAACTGACACCATTACCATTTTCAATGAATGTAATTTGACTAATAATAAATTGTTGTTCTTACTTTGTCTGACTCATCAGTTTGTTATTCTAAAGAAATGAAAAACCTTTCATTAATGAAATGTTTCTCCACCTCTAAAATGACTTTTGATGTAACAATACCGCTTGGGTGGGAAAATAATATTAATTGTATTTTAATAATAATCATATTTTTCACAATCCAATCAAATCACAAATAGAAAATCAGGTCTACCCTACATTATTTCGTTCCAAATTTTCAGTTTTGCTTGAAAATATGTTTAATA